AAAAAAAAAAAAAAAAAAAAAAAAAAAAACACACTATTAAACAAACTAACATGTACATATTCCTTATTGGTATCTCAGTAATGAAGCTGAAGAATCTTTGTTTCCTTAGATAACTATGAGTGGCCCAAAATACACAAAATATAGTTTTAAATTATGTTATTTTTAAATTTTAAAACAAACCTACTTTTACACATCTAGTAATTCCTGTCCACTGGATTTGATTATAAGGTGACTGTGTTTTTTTGGGGTTTTTTGTTTTCTGTTTTTTTGTTTTTGTTGTTGCCCAGGCTGGAGTGCAATGGTGAGATCTCGGATCACTGCATGCAACCTCTGCCTTCCAGTTTAAAGCAATTCTCCAGCCTCCTGAGTAGGTGGGATAATAGGCACCTGACACCATGCCCAGCTAATTTTTCTATTTTTAGTAAAGATGGGGTTTCACCATGTTGGCCAGGCTGGTCTTGAACTTCTGACCTCATGATCCGCCCACCTCAGCCTCTCAAAGTGCTGGGATTACAGGTGTGAGCCACTGCACCCGGCCAGGTATTTTTGTTTTAACTCAATCACTAAAAAAGGAAATGAAAAAAAAAATAACTTGGAACCCACAGTATAAAAGCGATATAAGTACATTATTTAATGAATACATTTAAATTCAAGTATACATTTTGTGTTCACTCAAATTAGTCATACCTGGAACAGCAGGTTAGTATGATAAAAATATATATGCAGTTCTGTTATAAATTTCTGAGACTACCTGCAAGACTGATTAAAAATAAACTCAATGCTTTCTTTAGAAGAAATATAATGGAGCCATTTTGCTGGCAAAAAATTTTAAATGCTTTCTCTTCCACGCATAAAAATTCAAAAGAAGACAAAAATATATCGGAGGTTTAAAGAAAAACACAGCTTTCTTACATTAGATGAAATATCTATCTTCTGTGTTATTTACACATCTGAATGTAAACATCTAGTATTCAAGGTCAGTGGCATTTTAGAACTGGGTAATGTTAATGCAGAGTACAGCACTGTACCATCTGTAAATATGCTTAATTATTAATGTTGACTATTACAGAATATCTATAACTTTAATTCCCTTTCTGCAACTAAAGAGAAGCATTTTGAAATTTAAAAACTCAAAGAAATTGAAAATTTAACTTATTCACATTAAGGAATAAATCAGAGATAGTAATCTAATTACATTCACTAACAAACCTGCATGAAAATACTTTTCTTTTTTTAAATCACTATCTGAATTTGCTTTCTAGAAATTATTTGTGGGCTTCTGAAATAGATAAAAGGCCAAAAAATGCACAATTTATTAGGTACTGAGTGCCTTCAGTGTGTAAGCTATGAAACAAATAGCTATTAAGATAAAGGGGAAGATTTTACCTCTTAAACACATTTTTTCATAGAACCAAATGTGCACACTGATTACTGTCATTTCATTAAATGCATATTTTTCTTACCTATTATTCATGAGTGCATTCCCAAATGGTCTTCTATTTGATAATATGTAGTTAATCTAGTTGTACATACATGAAAGTACATTCCGCTATGGAGCCTACAATTCTGTCTAAATTTGGCCAATATTTGTTCTTTTTTTTTTTTTCCTTTTTAAAATGGGGGTTTCTCTATTTTGGTCAGGTTGGTCTTGAACTCTCGACCTCAGGTGATCTGCCCACCTCGGCCTCCCAAAGTGCTGGGATTACCGGCATGAGCCACCACACCCGGCCTTTTTTATTTTTTTAAATCAGACAGGGTCTTGTTCTGTCACCCAGGCTGAAATGCAATGGTGCAATCTTAGCTTACTGCAACCACGAACTCTAGGGCTCAAGTGATCCTCCTACCTCAGCCTCCCAAACAGCTACAACTACAGGCATGTGCCACCATGTCTAATTTTTAATTTTTTTGGAGATGGGGTCTCACTACGTTGTCCAGGCTAGTCTTGAACTCCTAAGTGTCAGGTGATCCTCCCACCTTGGCCTCCCAAAGTGCTGGGATAGTTGCATGAGCAACTATCATGTCTGGCCTAGTTCAAATTTTTAGTAAGATTTTATCCATATCCTATATTCCCTTGTTCATTAAACTCTAGTAAATCCACTTCTAAGAAAAATGATTTTTGTAATCATCGTGTAATAGACTAAATTTACTGATGAATCATTTTTATAACTTAGTAAAAAATTATATAAAACATTCCATAGTCAAGGTATCACAAAGAACAATGAAAAAGCCAAAGATGAGATGAGAAGCAAGAACTTGTTGATTAATTTTCCAAGATGAAATAAAGTTAGAAAGCAAGAAAAGTAATTATAGATTTCTTCATTAGTGGTTAAAAAAGAAACCCAGAAAATTAAATGGAAAAATCAATGATATAACTCTGTGTTCAAGGACTCTTCTTAATTATTTACAAAAATTATCAACTAAGAACACATTTATTGAAAATCATGACAATAAGTTTAATGAAATATTGTTTACTTCAACTCCATGTTCAGTACTAATTCAGAAGCCTATGCCACTGATAGTTGACCCAAAATAACAGGCCAAGAAAAAACATTAACTTTACATGCAATGCAGTGTGGATTTCTGAATAAAATCTCTTTCAGTTTGACATCTTGATAGCCATCTGACCAAATTATGTTAATCTCACATCACATGTTAGTTTTAAGCCATATCATCCAGAAACAAGGTTGGAGAACTAAGTGTTTGGAGATGATATTTCTATCAGTACAGGTAAACAGATTCCTCCCTAAACATCTCAAAGAGAACAATTTATTTCAACCTCATTTTGCCACAAGTAGTCAAGAAAATTTTCCTTATTTTAATGTGTGATACACAAATATCACGAATTTGTCCGATATAATATGGAAAAAAAATAAGTACCTCTCCCAAGAGCTGCTCTTCAGCAGCAGGGCTCGCCTCCCCATCACTTTGTGCTACTTGGTCAGAGTCTTTAAGAGCCTTTGGTACACAAAACGATTACAGGGGAAGGTGAAGAATGTAGCATTAAAAGGTTATTAGTGAACAAGGAAGACAAAAGACACAATCAACAACATTCAGAGCTAGTTTAATCATAAGAAGCAACAGTGAGTAAATTTATTTGAGAAACACTATTAGAGGAAAAGCAAAGAACTATTACTGCTAACACTTTCCATTCTTTCCCACCAATTTTTTTCCCTGGAAAATGAAAAAATATTTATTGTAAGTATTTGAGTAGTCATTCATTGTTTTTCCTCCTTTACAAAATTCAAATATGTATGTCAAGAGAAAGGAATGCTCTACCAGCTAAGCGCATGCTATTTTAAAACGAGAATTATTAAATTTTTTTTTTTTTGAGACGAAGTTTTGCTCTTGTTGTCCAGGCTGGGGTGCAATGGCATGATCTCAGCTCACCACAACCTCCACCTCCTGGGTTCAAGCGATTGTCCTGCCTCAGCCTCCCAAGTAGCTGGGATTACAGGCATGTGCCACCATGCCCGGCTAATTTTGTATTTTTAGTAGAGATAGGGTTTCTCCATGTTGGCCAAGCTGGTCTCAAACTCCTGACCTCAGGTGATCCACCCGCCTCAGCCTCCCAAAGTGCTGGAATAATAGGCATGAGCCACCATGCCCACTTGAGAAT